ATGCTGAGATCTTTTATTGTTTCTTCGTGCAGGTTGGCTGACTTGAATGACTTCAAAAAAGTTAATGAGATCTATGCTAAATGTGAGTCTGAATGTCAGATGCTACCAATGTAGTTTAATTGAAACTTCTTTTGTGTTTATATCTTCAAAGCATCACTGTTTGCACTGCATTGAAAGAATCATCTGGAGAAAATGTGAATATTTTAGGTCATGAGATCTAGAATGGGTGAACCTCATATATCATTGCTTGGTATTTGAGTTGAAAAAAATGAATTATAATTCATTCTCCCAGTAACAATCTGGTTTGTCACTATATCTGCCATCAAGCCACAAGCCTAAATTGCTTCTTTGCAGGGCTATAATGGGTGCCGGTTGATATTTTGATGAAAATATTTTTAGGTTTACTCAAAACTGTCTTTAAAGTAGTCTTTTACCCTTCTTGCACCTTAATCTGAAGATTGGATTATTATGAAGTCTCAAATTGTGTATGAGAAATGTACTGACAGTATTTAGAAAACTTTTTACTTCCTGAATTTCCAGCTTTTAACTAATTGCCCTGATAATGATAAAAACGAGATTTTGCACTCATGCTGGTAATCTGGTTTATTGCAGACTTTCCTTCTCCCGCACCAGCTCGTGCAACATATCAGGTAGCAGCATTGCCAATAAACGCCAAGATTGAAATCGAATGCATTGCTGCACTTTAGAGCATGATAGTGAGAAGTTTAAGCTGACAGAGTCAAGTTAATATGATTGGAGATTCGTCAAGGGAGCTCCAACTTTTCTGGATCATAGAATCTTTGCTGGACTAGAACATGAGTTACTTCAAAAAAAAAAAAAGAAAAAAAGAACTCTGAAGCTGAAATTACAAACTTTTATTTATTCAATTGCAGTCCTTTCACTAAAATGAATAAATATTGTTTGCCAAGCCCTAATTTTCTTTGTCAATTAAAAACATGTTTTTGTTAGAGAAAAAATATCACTCAACTCCTCAAACATAAAATAATGAGAAAACTGAAAAATTATAACTTCCACAAATTAAAAGCGATAATTGTTCAATTAAATTCATTAATGAGTGTGATTGGATGACTTGATATTTTTAATGTCAAGATTAATTAAAAGAACTTAGGTTGAAATTTGTTGCTAAGCTAACAGATCAACTGAAAGAATTTAAGTTGAAACTTATCACTAAGTTAATAATTTTACAAATTAAGGGTCATAGTATATTCATGCTTATATAGCAAACTCAATTACAATTTTTTACTATAGTGAGATTTGGAGCATTATAATAATAATTGTCATTAGATTGAAGGATAATTTAAAATGAAAAATACTTTTCTTAATAATATATATTGCAATATTAAAAAGGATATAAATGTAATTTTCAAATTCAAAAATAAGAAAACACAAAATATCAAGGAACTCTACAATTCACAACTTATACCTACGAATGAAAATTCTCTATTTCCTGCTCTAGCATCGTCTGTAATGTACTCATCAAAGAAAATGTAGTGGGTGCATTTGAATATTTTCCGGAATTGTGAGGCCGTGAGGGAAGAAAACAAAGCATCCGGCTTCAAGATTCGGTGCCCGCCTTAACATACCATAAGGGCATGAACACTAGAACCTCCTCAGCGTAAACACCAGAACTTCCTATCAAATCATCTCACCTGCTCCCAAAGGACCTTCCTTTCGGCTTCAATCCGTAAGATTTCTTCACCCCATCTTCCGTCTACAAATTCATGTTTATCTGTTCTTTTCCTCCTTGTTTATTTTAATCATTTGTGTTTCTTCTGTTCAAAGTTATCCATATACCTTATCTAGATCTGGGGGTTTCTTCTGGGCGTTTCTTTCTTCTTCTAAAGATATCTGTTTGTGGCCATTTCCTGAAATTCCTTCTCTTTTTTGCTTGTATTGTCTGATTTGATCATAATCCCTTCTTGTTTTCCTCTTTTTTTTCTTTTTTTTTTGGTTGCTTATTGAATTTTCTAGGCTCTAGCTGGTAGGTTTTGTGGGTGCTTCTGCATACCCAAGTGCCTGTCCGATTGCTGGTTGGTAGGTTGGTTTTAATTCTGGCTTGTTCTTATGTTTTAATGTTGCAATTTTAGATTTATCTTTTGAAGTTTTATGCTTTACTTCTTCTCATTGTATTTGCGTTTTTTCTTATCATTTTTAACATTTTTCATAATCATGTATATTCATGAACCGTGGAAGTTGGTTACTTTTTGGGAGTTTTAAACATTATAAAGGGTGTATTCAACTTGGCATGATTGTTACATAGTGTCAAGTGTCAACTATTCCGTGTTTATATCTAATCAAACGCATTTCCTTTATAACCATCTATTTGAGGTCAATTTCCCTTCTCTTCATGTTAATATTTTGAGCTAAGAGCTCATTTTCAGGGTGTTTTTATTTGATTGTTTAATTCAATAGCGTGTTTACTTGAATGATAGACCATAAATTCATACAGATTTAGCAGGTAGTTTTTAATTTTTTTTATCATCAAGGAGCTAGTTATTAATTCGTTGTAATTGTTTTCAGGTCTGTATTTATTCATAACATGGAAGGTATTATCGTTAGGAGGGTCATTCCCTCGGATAATAGTTGCCTTTTCAATGCTGTTGGGTAAGCTCTTTAAATCCAAAAAGGGAAGTGACAAAAAAATAAATTCAGGATTTTGAGCTTACTTTTTCAGTTTCATTAATTATTTGAATGGCGTCACAATCGGGTTAAGTAAGATTGTTTTCCTTCTTTGATTCTTGATATACAGTTATGTCATGGATCATGACAAGAACAAGGCTCCTGAGTTGAGACAGGTTTTATATCATCTCATTTTTCTTGATGCTATTTTTGGTTTATGTCATTCTGGAACTTTTTCATTTCCTTTCTATTCTCAATAATTAGAGATGCTATTTAGGCTTTATTCTATGACAGCAAATGGAATTTAAAATTTCAATTTTGACAAGGTAGAATGCATGGCTCAATCATTCTAGTTGTGATATATTACCAGATTGGTTGTCCAAAAAATATGGCTTCACATTGGTTCTTGATACATAACAAGAGCCTCTTAAGGTTTGACCTTCAAGCTTCAAGCCACAAAATTTATGTGCATTGATAACTGTTGATGATACATATTAATTTTTCCTTTTTCCGTGTGCTATCTTATATTCTTTACATTTCAGTGGTCCATGATTTTTGTGCAGGTTATAGCTGTGACAGTGGCAAGTGATCCAACAAAGTATTCTGAGGCATTTCTTGGGAAGCCAAATGAAGAGTATTGTGCTTGGATTCTTGACTCTGAGAAGTGGGGAGGTTTGCTGAGCTTTTTCTTTTCCTCATCAATAAAACTATTTTTAACTAGATGGTTCCAGACAATGACTACGTGTCTTTGAACAATCACCATTTTTGCAAGTTGGGGAATCTGGGGTTATCATCATCTTTTCCTTTTTCTCGGTGGAGTACCTTTAGTTATCCTACTCACTTTAAACCAGGTTCCTTCAATTTAGAGTAGGGGTTTTGAATCCTTCTAAAGGACATTTTTGCTGGTTCCTTTAAAGATAGATAGTTGATAATGACATGGCCTTGCTTCTGGTTTGTTTAAAGATTTAATTGGTTACTTCTTTTGTCTTTTGACATGTCTAGCTTCATACAAAAGAATGAAACTTGTCTTATTAAGATCTAGCAAACATGTAAAAAAGGGTAATTGGGGTAATTGGGGCATGGATTTCTTGAACAATTTGCTTGGCTGCCTGCTGCATATTCTGTTGATTTCGAAGAAGATGGGAATGACAGAAGACATATTATTAGGCTATTGGCTTCTTGATTAGAGTTTCTTGGAGATATCTGCTTCATAAGCTTAGCATATAATCTGTCCCTTTAATGACTATTTCTTAAATATTATTTTTCTCAACACCTAGCTGTAGTTTTTTTTCTGGTTAATTGTTGAGATATATTCTGCTGACTTCACTATTTATCGTTTTATTATGAAGGTGCCATCGAACTTTCCATCTTAGCAGACTATTATGGACGTGAAATTGCAGCATATGATATTCAGACAACACGATGTGACTTGTACGGTCAGGTTAGAACTTGCTATGTGTTAACTAGTGCATTTGATTCCACTGAATCCGGTATTATTGCATTTCTCATTTGTCCCCTTTACTGGTGCTTCTTTGCAGGGAAATAATTATTCTGAAAGGGTTATGCTGATCTATGATGGGCTCCACTATGATGCTTTAGCTGTATGTTGCTTCATGATCAATTTGCCTCCATGATCATTTCATTCATTTTACTTGCTAACTTTACCTGAAAGGCATTAACAGAAATATGGTGATCTCACGGATATCAATAATTTATATTAAATGATATGACAACCTCTTGTTCTGGATGTTAGTGAATATTCACAGAAAACATACTAAAAAGGGGGCAACTATATAACAAAATTTATATGGAATGGTGGAAGTGTATTGCAGATAGCACAGCGTTTCGTTTCTTTGCAGTGATCCACTAATTTGTTGTCCATTTTGTGTTTATATTCATGATTTGTCATTTTTTTGAAAAAAATTTGCATGTGTAATTAACAGATGTCTCCATTTGAGGGAGCTCCAGAGGAGTTTGACCAGACCATATTTGCTGTAAGGAAGGACAGAACAATTGGACCAGTTGAACGGCTTGTACTTAATCTTGCCAGGGACCAACAAAGGTACGTAATTCAAGGTTATTATAGAAGATTCATGCAATATAGACAGTACCTAAATATGAGGAAAAGATTTGATGTTCCAGGTCTTTATATGGATGGATGGTAAAGGAGGTCCAAGAAAAAATCTTGGTTCTCTTTCCTTTTTTGCTTCAACCTTTAACTTAGATCTATTAAGGTGGAAAACTTATTTGCATCCATGGTTGTGGATTCGCTGAACACTTTGCCTCAATTAGTTGACTTCCTCAGGATTCGTGGTTTATATTTACATATTCGTTCTTGAAGATCTCAATACATTCTGTAAATTGTTAGGCATTTCCATCTCATATTTTTCTTTCCTCTGCCATTTTTCTTAGGAAGAGGAGATACACTGACACCTCCAACTTCACTCTGCGTTGTGGGGTGTGCCAGATTGGAGTGGTCGGCCAGAAGGTCAGTTGTTCTTCATTGATGCAAATATTGCTGCTATTTTTCCATGTCAATATCCAGCTACACTTTGTTTCTCAGAAATCACACTTCTCACTGAGATTACTTCTCTGTAAACATACAGGAGGCTATGGAGCATGCACAAGCCACTGGCCATGTCAACTTTCAAGAATATAGATGATTGAAACTGTTGAAGTGGAAGATGATTAATATGGAACAGATGGCGTTTGCTTTTCATTTCAGTGTATCATATTGGATTGTTGAAGAACCAATAAAGCACTCATTTTGTCAATGAGAACTGTTGTTATATAATGTGTGTTTTCCTAAATGTTAGTTTTATGTTATGCCATAATGTATCAATTAGGAACGCAAGAGTGAAATTGCAGATTTCATGGAAAATTCCTCTTTTAAATACCCCAATTTTTTGCCTGTGTGTGAAATTTCTTTTTCCAATTGCTTTGATAAAAAAGACAACAATTTTTGAAGATGATAAAGAAGAAATTACCTGTAAATTTTCTAATCCTGTCAAAACGAACGATTTTTATGCTTTCATTAAATTTTTTGATTCTTCTACAACTGCAACAGTTGGAAATGCAACATATTTCGAACATCTAGAGCAAAATTTTCCATTTTCCTTCACTAGCAATCTTATACCATACATCCTTCTCTTACTCAATAAAATTTTGGAAAATATTTGGCATTATGATATTATAAAATAAATGATATTAATGTTTATTAATTAGACTTGCAAAAAATTAGGTAAAAAAATATTTCAAAATGATATTATTTTAATAAAGTATTATAAAAAAAATATTAAAATATCTTCATTATTATTTTAAAAATAATTAAAATATTTTAATTTTTAATAAAATTTTATTAAAATAATATAATTTTAAAATATAATTTTACTTAATTTTTGATAATACAAATTGATACCATTTTTAAAATAATAAAAATAGTTGAATGGAGGAAAAAGTTTCCAATATTGAAAAGGGCCTTCTCTGGTTGAGACTGTTACAGTTTGAATGAACTTGCAACAAACCTTCAATATCAAATCCTTAAAAAACCAAAAGGAAAAAACAAAAACTATAAGAAACACGTGTTCTAACCATGAATTTTATGGTGGTAAGCGACTTGTTCCAGTTTAAACAATTTTTCGAGTTCGAAACCTTGTGTACCCAGAGCGTCCATTGAGAGACCTCCCCACCACAACCCGGGACGTCATGCGGGTCGATCCGGATTTATCGGGCGAAGCCCGATACCGGACGGGAAACCAAAAAAAAAAAAAAACCATATTCATGGTGGACTCCCTTCAACTTGGTTTGGAGGGCACTTTCCTGGTCCACACATCGGTACGTCAGTGCTTTTCAAGAAGAGTATGGTTATGTTGTCTTCTTCGATGCGCAATTATTTTGTTACTAGCAATGATTTGATCTGTGGATGAATTCATCTCCGGCCCCCCAACATCGTAAATAATCAGCCGAGGAATCTTCATCTTGTCTTAACAGCCACTCCTTCAGAAGACATGGCTGGAGCTCCCTTGACTATGACCTCCAAACCTCTACTACCGCCGCCCCATCTCACCCCTTTTCGCCGTTTCCGTACACCAATAGCTGCTGCCTGCCTCAGTCCTACAACCAAACCCACAATGCCAGACCCCCACCCGTCGCTGGAGGTCTCGGGAGGCGCTCGTGATCGGTTCCTTCCGGCATTTAAAACTCTTCACCTCCCCTACTCACCCTTTCCTATCATTGGATGGAACCGTCACATAGAGACCCTTTTCGCCGCCTTCTACAGGTCAGTCCCCGATGTTAGATACCGGCGAGAGTGCCTCCGCACTCAGGACGACGGCACTGTTGCCCTTGATTGGGTCGGCGGCGACCACCGCCGGTTATCCGCTGATGTCCCCATCCTTATTTTACTGGTCAGTATGATTTTTCGACTCCAGAAAAGGAATTTTTCTAAATCAAATAGGCGGCTTTTTCATCTGGGTTCTAAAAATGTAGAATTCTGGCTCTGGGTTTCCTTAATTGCAGCCAGGATTGACCGGAGGTAGTCAGGATTCATATGTGAGGCATATGTTGGTGAGAGCTCGGAGTAGAGGTTGGAGGACTGTGGTGTTTAATAGCAGGGGTTGTGGAAATAGCCCTGTTACGACTCCCCAGGTACTATACTTCTTAATTCTTACAGTCTTGCTGTTTTCGAGGCTGAAAATTGGCACATTATTTGGAATTAGTTTGAGTTCAAGATCATTAGGTTTGGTATTAATCTGCATTTTGTCGTTAACTGTTGATTGATTGATAGTTGTTTTAGAATTCAACAATGATATTGGATGTTATGTCGTGGGGTTTGATGGCACTAGGGATTGACAATTTGAAGTAAATCAATACTGGGGTTGTTAATTATTTTGCACATACCATGATACAATGGTTGTCAAAGAGTCATTGTTCCTGACATTCATCCTGCTTCTCTTACATACTTTGTACTAATTTTTCTATGGTGATGAAGTGTTGAGATGGTTAACAAAAATATGTGATTATTTCATGCTACTGATGTGCAGTTCTATTCGGGATCCTTTATAGGGGATATGCGTGAAGTAGTGGCTCACATTTCTGCCAAATATCCTAAAGCAAGTTTGTATGCAGTTGGCTGGTCTCTAGGGGGAAATATTCTTGTTAATTATTTGGGCAAGGTAAGACAACCAAGAACTATTCTTCCTTCTTTTTTCCAAATACCATCTGTTACCTGCTTTCTTTTCAGCTATTGTTCTGCCCTTGTTCCTATCTCTCTGTTAAATATACTGCTTATTTCCGCTTTCCCTCTTTTTTCTTCATTAACTATTGGCATTGCTTGAAATGTTTATCTAACTTAAAGAAAACACTGTTACTAGTGAATTTTGCTGGATTGCTATGAGGTCCCGTTTCTGCTCTTAACCATTTATATGCTTGTTGTGTTCTACTTGCAGGAGTCCGATACTTGCCCTCTTTCTGGTGCTGTGTCATTGTGTAACCCCTTCAATTTAGTCATTGCAGATGTAAACCTTCGCAAGGGATTTAACAATATTTACAACAGATCTCTCAAGAGAGCTCTATGCAGAATATTCTCAAAGTGATTCTTTGCTGAATTGTTTTATTTATAACATTCAAAACTAAGATCCTCATCTGAAGTTGATATAAACAGAGTTTATTGTTATTGCAGGCATGCCCTTCTCTTTGAAGATATAGAAGGTGAATATAGCATCCCCATGGCCATGAATGCCCAGACTGTCAGGGAATATGACGAAGCAATAACACGTGGTATGTATTCATCACACATCAAAAGGGTTTTCCTTTTCATTTTCATTTTCATGTTTCATGTACTTGTGCTTATTCTTCCTTTTCTTGTGGTGGGTGTCAAAATGACGTGTTATTCAGCTCATATTACTTTCTAAACATCGCAGTTTCATTTGGTTTCAAGTCAGTGGATGACTATTACTCGAATTCATGCAGTTCAGATTCAATAAAACATGTCCAGATTCCTTTGCTTTGCATCCAGGTAATATGTTTGTTGTCCAATGATGAGTATATATCTACACCTCAGCTGAGATCAAACTGTTAATGAAAAAATTTAGATTATAGAATATAAAATAATTTGGGCAAGGAAAATGAAAAAAAAAAAGAAAAAAGAATCTAATGCTAGAATTGGGATCTGCATCCTTGTTAACTTGAGAGGCTTGAGTAAGAAAATTATTTAGAATTTTACGTCTTGGTGACTAGTATCTGCCTAAAACTTGACTCGTTTTCAACGGTTTGCAGGCTGCAAATGATCCAATTGCCCCTATTAGTGGAACTCCCTTTCATGATATCAAGGTACAGGAGTAAGTTAGGTGTCTTGAGCCATATGCCGAATATGCTATGCTTTACTAATTAAATTTAATTATCATAAATCCTTAATGTCATACATACGTGGTTTCTTTAGTAAATACCTAACTTGCACCTAAGCTTCTAGCTCAATTGTAAGGTATATGTTCACATCCACAAGAGATGGGTTCAAGTCACCCTTCCACGTCTGTAAAAAGAGAGCTTAGCTCATTTCCATTAATTCCCTCTACTGAACTATGTTTTCTATTGCCTTAGGAAAATCCAAACTGCATGTTGATAGTGACACCCAAGGGTGGTCATCTAGGCTGGGTTGCAGGTGATGATGCTCCATATGGAGCTCCTTGGACAGATTCTTTGGTGATGGATTTCCTTGAGCATCTGGAGAAAGATGCATCAAAACCTCTTGAATCTTCCAGCAAAATAGAAGGTGCCCAGCAGAGTTTGGAGATCTTGCAGCAAGTATAGTTGGAATGTAGTGTTTGTGCATAAGATCATGTTGTACTTGGGCCTGGCTTTATGGATTAGCATATTGTCAATTTCCAACAAGAAGACTGCAATTCTCCCAATCAGAATATTTCCTTGGTATTATTATAGCCAAAGCTCGGCGGAGAATTAAATCCCTGGTTCATGAAGACAGTTGATCTACGATTGTCAATTGATAAAGATCATGAATTGCAAACATCATTTCCTGCAATTAAGTTCCCTGAATTAAAACATTTCTTAGGAAAATAGAAGGTTGATTACATGGTAGGATCTTATGGCTCCAGTCTACCATGAATTTGTTTCTCGAAGTGGTAACCTTGGATTTCAAAAGATAACAATACAAATTGCATAACTTTTACTTCTTGAATAGTTGAATTACAATGGGAATGGCTGAGCCTCGACGTAAATTACAGCAATGATAACCTAAACTATTCCTTACGAACATTATTACCCAGAAATTGGCAGCAGTGGGACACAGAACTCTCGGCACGGTTATAGGAGCAAAATTGGAAAAACCAGGGAATCAGTAAATCCATCAGATCAAACATTTATCCTTATTCAGTAGCTCCTGCAACCTTAAGCGGTTTCAACTGCAAAATGGTTTCCTCTGCAAAATGGTTTCCTTATGTTTTGACGAACAAACCACTTATTTCCATGGGACATATCCAGCAAGTGAGACAAATACGCTTGGCCATCCGACAGTATCTACTCTTATATCTTCTGATTAAGAACATGCCGCAACTGCACTTTCTGAGTTCCCATCCTTGCCTCCAAAAGTCTTGCCTTCAAACTATTCTTTACTGCACCGCGAGGCCATTCAATGCACCCCTTCATACCTCGAGTTACATGAGGATGACCAGATTCTGGTGAACTCCACTGCCCCACTAACTCCGGAGGGCTAAGCCCACCTTTACCTGATCCTCGATCTACTGATGCGACACTACCATTTGATTTCCTTCCATTTGAAAGCCTGCAATTTGCCCCCTCCACTGAGATTATCTTGCAGTTCTCTCCATTATTTGGATATGACCTCCAAAGCCTTGCAATTGATGAAACCTTCTTCAACTGTTTGGCAGGCACCGAAGAAACTTCACTGATTTCTGTAACAGGAGTCTCTCCACACCCATTTTCTTCCCATTCTGTTCCACTTCCTGAAACATTACTGTTCCGGCAATTCTTGTTTACAGATGCAGCACTCCCTTCAGGTGAATAACTTGAGCCCTGATCCCCAAGATGGCTCACAGTTTCCCAGCCACTCTCATCTTCTTCTATGTCATCATTATGACCATTATATGCATTCAGGTTTCTCTGCATGTTGCCTTTGTTAGCCACGATGTATACTTCAGGGCTCACTGTATGAACTTTTGAGGCATGGCTAGCTGGACTATAAGCAACACATGGTTCGATTTCCCTCTCATTGCCTTCAGCAAAATTCACATCTTCAAAGACAGAAAAAATGTCATCTGGGTTGGGTGGTTCATATGTAAATTCTTTGACATCTTGGAGATTAACAGATGCAGCAGCCTGTCTAAGCAATTCTGCTTCTCTCATATCACTCATATCTGGGTTGGCACCTCTTGACCTTAGAAAAGTCTCCAAATCTGCCACAAGCCTGTTCATCTGAGAATACTTCTCTTCAAGCACTACCTTTGCATCAACCAACTTCATTTGAACACGCTCCTCCCGCCAGACCTCAGCCATCTGTAACATCCTTCTTTCATCTTCCACTTCTTCTCGGAATTTCATAGAGTCTCTCTTCAATGCTTCCATTTCAGCCTTGTCCTCCGCAATTTCATTAGCAAGCTCGTCACATACTTCTTCAATCAATTCTCTAGCATTCCTTTCTTTCTCATAGTCCTGCATACATCTCTTTGCTGATAACTTGGCTTCAGCTAGTTCATTAACCAATTTGGAATTGACAATTTCAAGCCTTTGGCGATTTTTCTTTTCTTGGTTCAAGTCAGTTTTGACGTCATCAATGAATGCACGGATTTTCTCATGCTCTCTACTACGCCATGCAGCTCTCTCCTCACTCACTTTCCTTAAGAAATGTTCGAGTTTCTTCTTTGAGGAATGACGCTCAGTCTCAAGTTCCTCAACGCGAACTCGAGCCAGCTCTAATTCGGCCTCAAGGGCAGAAACTATTGAGACAGCACTTACTTGTTGGTCAATACGCTTCATGCGGGTGTATATATGGCGTGCCTCATCTGTTGTTTTCAGGCAGACAGGATCCCACTTTGTTGCCCCCTCCATTGCAGAGTTTGAAAACTGTATTGAAGGTTCAACCTAAAAGAGAAAGGAAAGGAGCTTAAATTTAACGAGCTAAGGAACCAATTAATGGACAAAAAGAAAAAGGAAGAGTAGGAGGGAGGGAAAGGACAACTGCTCATTTAAATCTTAACAAGAACTGCGAAGGAAAAAGGGAAGAAACCCAATCTAAGTAGGATGTACCTTGAATAAGGATCAAAAATAAAAATCCCAACCAATGAACCAAAGACTATAATGCTCTCTTGTCAATCCAAGTTTTCAAAACCTTGCATTGAGCCTTATAGGGGATTTCTATATGATACATAGCACTGAGGTGAGAAATGCACTCAGATCGAATTTCATACTACTATATATAGAGTTTAGACTGCATAAATAACACATTAATCTGAGCTGCAACTAATTCTGTCCTTTGCTCTTCCAGCTGTCCAGGTTAGTAAACCATTTCTAGGCAATGACACACTGCTTGTATACGATTTTGTGTCAAAAATGTAATTATTTCTAACATCATTAATTCTAAAGTGATTGACAGATCTACCCACTAGCAAATCTTCATCTATGGTGAAGAGAGGCAACATATCACTTTTCATAAACGTGTCACTCCTTTTAGCAAAATCTAATAAATGTAGCATTACAAAGTCCATGCAAAGAACAATGCAAATGGTGGATCATAAGCATCATGCACACTGTGTGTGAACATGATAAAGAGTTTCCTCTATATTCTCCCAATAACTCGGATCATTTAATAGTTCAAGATTCAGTTATGAAGCAGCATACCTTACAAAGGAGTCCATTCCTTGATCCAGAAACAGAACTAGGGCTCCGTAATGGATCCTTTGTCTCTGAACCATATAATTGGTCCTTGTGATTGTAAAGAGACGGGATACCATGATAAACCTTGTCAGGCTGCAGGAAACAAGACAAATTAACTCAAAAACTCCAATATTAACATAGAAATAGCTAAACCTTTAACAAAGTCAGTCATCACGATTCAAAAGAATTAACTTACTCAATGAAAGACAAAGAAGCAAAACTTTCAAAGACCTTTTTAGACAGATATGCCAATGTAATAATATACAATTAGACAGATCATAGATACCAACAAATAGGTTCAGATACAGTCCAAAATACTGTTTAACTTTATTAGGAGTGAATATCCAAAGGCAGCACATGAAAGGCAGAATCACATTATTCATTTGAAGATGATAAAGGAGACTGAAAACACAGTAGAGCATATAATCCTACACAGCAAAATCATATCAATCGATTCTAACTATGTAATTGCATGAAGCTTGATCTGTAATGTTGATATTTTTTTTTCCTCAGATAGGCGGAATCTAAGTATAATTAAAATCAAATGTATGATTCTAACTTGGAAAATTTTCAAAGGTAAGCAATGACAAATTGATCACAGGAACAATGGATAATGATGGCATTACAAAGATCAGCATCATTTTCACTAGCATTGCTTTGTAACTAAGCAAACAAGTTGGCAATTAACGAATATGGCCCTCAGTGATTGAAAGAAAAATTCGCTTCAAGATCACTCTTTTCTTTTGCCCTGCACTTCAAGATCGCTCCTTGATCACAAAATTCACACCCAAAAAGGCTCCAAACTCTAAAGAGATCTTCAAACTACAAAAAACCAAAAACCAAAACCCCACAAGGAAATCACCTGAAACCCTAACCGATCGCCCCTCCTCTCTCCTCCACCGACTGCAACCCTCTCCGGAAGCTGGAGCCTCCACAATCCAGCAGCAAGCTTCCTCGCTGAAACAGTTGTCGCTCCCTTCCTCCTCCCACTACTACTCCGTCTCCACCCACCTCCTTCATCCTCGTCGTCAACACCCCCAGTCCTATCCTTCTCCCTTTCCCTATCCTCGACCTTCCATTTCAATAAAGGAGTCTCAGGTCGGCTCCGCCTCCCCACCTGAGCTCCCACCCGCTTCACCCGAGTCAAGCTCGGGTTACGGGTCCTCCGCCAAGTCGTGTGCTTGAGATCTGCGTCCGACGGATTCTTCCCCGAAAATGTCGCCGGTAAGTCGGGTTTTCCTGTAACCTTCATATTATTAAGCGTCAGCCATGACCCACCAAAACCCAGAAACAGAATCCTCTGATTACTTCACAGACAAAGAGAAACAAAGTGAAACTTCCGACTTAAAGGTGCGTGTGAAAGAGAACGAAGGAACTCGAGAAGCACAGAGGAAAGAAAGAGGAGCTTCTGCTGCTTGGAGGAGAGAAAATTACGCACGCAGATTTGTGCATACAGATACTGTAATTATACAGACAGATTTTCTACGTATTTTTTCACGTATAGTGTACGGTCAACGTACTTTGGTTCCTTGATACGGTGCCGTTTTTAGGGGCACAGACGCGCTTCGCACGTGTTGGTTGCTTGGCGTCTTGCAAAGAGACGTTGTAAATCCATGGTTTTAAAATTATGCTGCCAGAAGCAAAAAAAAAAAAATTATGCTGCCACAGAAACGAAGTCGTTTTGAATATTGGATTTGTAAATTACTCCTATTGTCCTTTCCTGCATATTGTAATTACTATGATTTTTTTTTTTTCAAATTGTATTAGCCTAGCTTTATCCTTTGCCAATAAGCCAACATTACAAGTAATTTAGTAACTAATAATTTAAGTAATTTAATAATAATTTTTTGATACATTTAATAATAAATTATATAAGATAATCTTCTTTCTTTTTTTTTTTTTTTAATTCTTTCTTATTTGACTCAAAATTTAGATTCAAGATTTTTAATTTAAAATCTTATACTCTGAACCAATGAAAATATCCTTTGAAGATCAATTTAGTGGTAATCTTTCAATAGAAATAAAAGACTCTAAATTTAATTTGCATACATATAAATGTAGTGAATTAGAAAATAAAAAAAATTACTTTTTATGTAAAAAAAAAATAAAAATAAAAACTTTTACTTATAATGTTATTTAACTTAATGACAAGAACCATTGTCTCATAATTTGGAGATTGTGGGTTTGAGCTCCCCTTCCATATAGATTTTTTAATTTTATGTATTATATTTATACCATAATATATACATATATATATATATATATTATTTATATGTTATCTTTACACTCTAAATAAATTAAGAAGAAAATAAATAAAGCAACAACAACAATAAAGAGAGGTGATTGAATATAAAGAATGCACCATGCGTCATGTGCATCTCGACTCAAAAGTAATGTTTTTTTCTTGCTTGAAATCGAATGAGATGGTGCAAGAAGACAAGGGAGAAAGGGCCATGTTCACAAGCAATTTTCTTACACGACATGAGTGACTCGTTGCAGATCTAACCTAATCTCTTACCTCTCTTCTTGCTTGCATTATTTAGTCAGGTTCTCAGAAGGGCATCCGAGGGAGCACCCACGTGGCTACTTGTAGAGCCTTACACTTGGCTGTTTGTCCATCCATCAACATGCACATCCCATGCTGCGTCCCTACAAACCGACGAGTCTTAATTTAACCCACCTCTCCGTCTCCCCCCCCAATTTTATTTATTGTATACACGTACGTTTCTACTAGAACCCTAGGCTCTTTCTCATAGATTTATTCATTCTTATATATGATCTAATCTTAATTTTGTTTTAAACCCTGAATTTTTCTAAATTAATCACATTTTAGATGTCTTTTCACATAACACTAGAATGCATTATGTGAAAAGATATGTAAATAAAAATGTATAGTACATTTGAATTATATGATTTAAATTATTAAATAAAAAGTGAATTAAGAAATTTTATAATTTAATATAATTTAAATTACAAAATAAAGAACTTTAACACAAAATAAAAATTATTTACAAGTTTTTTTTTTCCGAAACAGAAATTTTAGAAGCTGATAAAGGAATTTTAATATGAGGTTTCCAATTAAAGAACTCATTTTGTTATTTAAAATTATTCTACACAACAAATAAGGAAAGCATATATATATATATATATATTATGTATTCAATTTATGCCTAAAGTTACCAATGACTCAAGTAAACTCAATAGTAATCTCTTTTTGTTGGTAATAAGAAATTTTAAATTCAAATTATAGGATATATAGATAAGGTAAGTTAAGAAAATAAAGATAATTGTTATTTATTGTGAAATTTAAAATAAAAAAAATGCCTAAAATTGATTAATGTAGTAATAGTATCATAGTATGTACTTTATATATCTATGTAGGCATCAAACATGATCAAACAGCAATCCAAGTGGAACATTTAATTTAAAATGTAGATTTTTAATATTTTATTATTTTAGTCAATAAGATTGGCCTCTCAAAGGGCAGACAAGAATGCATGGGTTCAAGTACTTAATGAGTTTTTTTTTTTTTTTTCCTGGGATTTTTAGGGATGATAATATGCTCTTATAATCCATGTGGGTCCGATAACGAAATTAGTAATTCATTAGGATGTTTAATCACCAATGAAGCCTGTT